TTTTAAACCCCAGGGGCACTCAAACACTGAGCCACATCCCCAGCACTTTTTCTTGTATGTTAAGTAGAGATAGGGTCTCACAAAGTTGCTTAGGACCTTGCTAAGTTTCTGAGGCGGGCTTTGAACTCAGGATCCTCCTGCCTCAAGCTATGGAGCTACTAGGATTACAGGAGTGCGCCACTGCACCCGACCTGAGAATTTTATTTATTTATTTACTTACTTACTTATTAATATTTTTTAATTGTTGTTGATGGACCTTTATTTTATTTATTTACTTTTATGTGGTGTTGAGGATCAAACCCAGTGCCTCACACATGCTAGGTAAGCACTCTACCACTGAGCTACATCCCCAACCGAGAAATTTATTCTTTTTCTATTTAATATTTATTTCTTTTAGTTGTACACAGTACTTTTGTTTTTGTTATTTATTTATTTTTATGTGGTGATGAGGATCCAACCCAGGGCCTCGCATGTGCTAGGCTATCGCTCTACTTCTCAGCCACAACCCCAGCCCCCCCAGATAAATTTTTTTCTTAAGAAATATACATGTGCAAGCTGCAGGTATACTTCAGTGGTAGAGCATTTCGGTTTAATCCCAAAAAACAAAAAAAAAAAGAGAGAGAGAGAGAGAGATAAATATACCTATGCTCCTGAATTTATGTACAAAGCTGTTATGTATAATAATGTTTATCAGAGTTAAAAATTAGTCAGTCTCAATGTAAATGTCCATGAACAGGTCTATGGGTAAAGGCATTCTGGTGCACCCGCACCCATACTATGAATATTGTGCAAAACTGTTAAAAAGAATAAGGTCAGGGCTAGGGCATGGATCAGTGGTGGAGCATTTGCCTAGTATGTTCGGGGCCCTGGATTTGATTCTCAGCAGCACAAAGAAAAATAAATAGTTCTGTTTTACTGATATGGAAGTATGTACATTTTCCCTTAGTAGAAAGAAGAAATCAAAATATTACTTACTGGAATAGAAAAACATAGTAACTACAGTATGATTCCATATGTGTAAATGTAAATAAGACTATCTGTGAGTTTGTGTGTGTGTGTGTGTGTGTGTG